CATACTGGTGATGCTGATGATCACGGATCACGACATGAAGTTGATGCTGGCGATGACATTGGTGACGACGGAGATCTATATCTATCTATATCTATCTATATCTATCTATATCTATCTATATCTATCTATATCTACCTATCTATCTATCTATCTATCTATCTATCTATCTATGTGTCTGTGTATATATATATATAGAGGTTTTACAATACATTAAAACACGTGTGTGTGTGTGTGTGTGCGTGTGTCTGTGTGTTAAGGTATATATTATGACATGAAGGGGAGCTTTCGGGAGATCTTCGCCGTCTGCTCAAGAACCCGTACCCGGATTGGCTCTAACTTTAGGGCATATGGTCTACGGTTTTCAGTTTGGGTTTAGGGTTTCGGGTTTAGGGTTTAGGGTTAGGGCTTCCAAACAAACAGGAATCTGGAAATTCCTTTTGGGGTCAAAATCTTGCGGGACACCGGCAGCGCAGGGTGGACGTAACCGAGTCTCCGAGGACACATTCAAGCCCTTAAGCTGATTCCGACTGTGCGGCTGCCTCCCCCTGAACCCTAAACCTTAAACTCCTATACCCCAAACCCTACACCCTAAACCCTAAACTCCTAAACCCTGAACCCTACACCCTAAACTCCTGAACCCTCAACCTGGAACTCCTAAACCCTCATACCTGGGGCCCCAAATACTGTCTGAGGTCCAAACCGCTCTCGCGCGAAACAGCTCCAGGGCCGGATGAACCGAGCAGCTTGGCATGCAAGGGATTAGGGTTTAGGGTTTTGGGACGGTTTGGGGTCCAAAGTGTAGGGTTTAGGATTTAGGGTTGAAGGGTTGAGGGTTGAAGTTTCAGAGTTCAGGGCTTTGGGGTCACTTAAGAGAGAGGGAGAAGGATCTGGGATCTTCCCTATAGCCTAAGCGCCCCAAAGCTCCTTCGTTTCACGGCAATGACCCTGCTATAGGGGCCTTACTAAGTAGAGCTATTCTAGGGTTTAGGGTTTAGGGTTTAGGGTTTAGCGTTTAGGGTTCTATTCTATTGTACTTATGAGGACTCAGAACTCCACCCCGATCTCTTGCTTAGAGGCCCAGGGGACTAAGAAAGTAGGATTTAAGAAGGGGTTGTATTTGGGGTAACTACACTCAGGATACTTATTCTTCCACTTATTCCCTGTAGGATACTTATAGCTCCACTTAGTCCCTTTAGGACACTTATACCTCTACTTATCCCCTTCAGGATACTTATAACTCCACTTATAACCTTTTTAATGAGTCCCCTGGGCCTCTAAGTGGACGAGAGGCACCTAAACCCTAAAACCCTAAACCCTAAACCTTAAACCCTGGACCCTAAACCCTAAACCCTAAACCCTAAACCCCAAACACCAAACCCTAAACCCCCAAACCCTAAAGCCGAAACTTCCCCAAGTGGATGGCAGGCAACCCCGCTGGTTCGAGCCGCTCTGCAGGCGCGAAGCGGTGGTGACTGGGGATTAGGCTTTGTGGGCTTTAGGGTTTAGGGCAGTTGAGGGTTTCGGGCAGTTTAGGGTTTTAGGCTTTAGGGTAGAGGGTGTAGGGTTTAGGGTTTAATGCTTGTAGGGTGTAGGGTTTAGGGTATAGGGTGTAGGGCTTTTAGGCTTTGAGGGTAGGGCCAGGGTTCAGGGTTTTAAGGTGAAGAAGAGTTCAAGGCCGCGGGCCCTGGCCTGCCCGAAGGTTCAGGTTTTAGGGGTTTAGGGGTTTAGGGGTTTGGGGTTTAGGGTTTAGGGTTTAGGGTTCGGGCTTTAGGGTTTAGGGTTTTAAGGTTTAGGGTTTTAGGGTTTAGCGTCAAGCTCCTTGCCATGGAGACAGCAAGCTTCTGCGCCGGGCAGTCTGTTTCTCAAGGCGTTCCTCATCTGCAAGCTTCTGTATCAGTCTACAGATCTTTAAACCGCCACTCCTAACCCAGAACCCTACGAGAGCTTTGCTTGAACCCTGAACAACCTAAACCCTAAACCCAAAATCCTAAACCCGAAACCCTAAGCCCTAAATCCTAAACCCTAAATCCTGAACCCTAAATCCCAAACCCTAAACCCTAAACCCTAAATCCTAAACCTTAAATCCCAAACCCTAAACCCCAAACCCTAAATCCGAAACCCTAAAGCCTAAACCCCCTAAATCCTTAGAGAGTCCCTCCCCCGCAGGCCGGTCAGGACGGAGAGGGCGGGGTGGGCACGGAGCACCCAAAGACCCGGAGTTTGCTCGCAGGGGTTCCTGGCAGCTTTTGGTTTTGGGTTTAGGGTTTAGGGCTTGGGGTTTAGGGTTTAGGGGTTAGGGCTTGGGGTTTAGAGTTTAGGGTTGTTTAGGGTTTAGGGTTTAGGGCTTAGGGCTTGAGGAGTTTTGAAAGGCTGTTGAAGAGTTTGAGGAAGTGGGACCAGGAGTGAGGCGGGGAAGGGGAAGTTAGGACGTGAGGTCCGGGTGTTGGATATGTTTCAGGATTGGTTGGAATGGTTGGGATACATGGGCAGTCGCAGTTCTGCACAGAGTCCTTCAGCGATAATACAGCATCATATACTATAATATACCATAATTTGTGCTGAAGTATACCATACTACATACTATAGAAAAACTATGGGTGGGGTTTAGGGTCTAGGGGTTTGGGGTTAGCGGTTTAGGCGTTTAGGGAGGCCTAAATGGAAGGTATCGTCCGTGCAATGCAGGATAATTAAGTCACTTGGCTTGCTTTTAGGACAGCTACTCAGCGGAGTTTCTCTCTCTTGGGGCCCAAACGAACACCTGAACGTACTGACCCCGCGCATTGGCACCCTTATACCCCGAAACCATTATCCTTTCGATTCGGTGCCCTTTTGGGCCCCTGCCTAGCCTCTACTGCATCCACCGCAGCCTCAGGTGAATTCTGAAAGTGGTGGCTCGGCGCCGCTGGCAAGCGTTGTCGCCCCGCCGGCGGACCGCTCCTTCAAGTGTGGAGGGTTCGCGGGTGGGTTCATGCCTTTGGGCTTCGGCGCTTTCGGGCGGAGGATATAATACTGTACCATAAGATGCCATACTATATGACAGCATATACTAGAATGCATACCAGCATAGAAACTATGATGCATGCATCCCTCAACACATTTGCCCGAAGCTTCCCAGAGTGATGCTGGAGTATTCTTGCAGCAACCCATCGACCAGAACAGAGTCCCAAACTGAGGTTTTAGAAATCCTAAGCCCTAAACTCACACTTCTGCGGTGGAGGACCAGCGGTATCGAGAAAAGCTGCTGAAAGCTGCTGGGGCCTCCGCTTCTATGAGAGGAAGACTTCAGGCTGACCTGAATCCTCCAAACCCTCCGGGTTTAGGGTTTAGGGTTTAGGGTTTAGGGTGCTAGGATCCTTGTTTGAAAGAACTCGAAATAGTAGCCCTAGGATCCTTGTTTGAAATGCCACTCTAAACCCTAAACTTTAAGCTCTAAACCTTAAAGTAGTACTGCTAGGATCCTTGTTTGAAAGGCTGCCCTAAACCCCGAAACTCTAAGCCCCAAACCCTAAACCCTAAACCCCAAACCCAAAGCCCTAAACCCTAAACTCCCTAAACGCAAAACCCGAAACTCTATGCCCTAAACCCTAAACTGTTTAGGCCCTAAACCCTAAACCCTAAGCCCTAAATCCCCGCTTTACAAGATTCAGGAAGCCCAGCCAAAGATCCCAAAGCCCGAGGCCAACAGTCGCCTGGGCGCTTCGGAGAAGCTGCCACCCCTTCAAGAGGCTTCTGGGGCTTAGGGTTCAGAGTTTAGGGGTTTAGGGTTTAGGGTTTAGGGGTTTAGGGTTCAGAGTTTAGGGGTTTAGGGTTTAGGGTTTAGGGTTTAGGGTTCAGACTTTAGGGGGTTTAGGGTTTGGGGTTTACATGTTTTGGTTTCATAAAGCTTTGAGTTGCTCTTCTGGTCATAGGTTGAATCTTGTGTTTTTGAGGTGTCTTAGCATTTTAAGTGTTCAGTTTTTTGCAGGGCTCCCTTCGTTTTGGCAGAGTCTTCGGGTTTCAGGTAGTAAGGTTTAGTAGAATTTTGCAGATTGATGGGTTTCGGATTCGGGCCTTCAGTTTCAAGGTGGTCCGGTTTGTAGTCTCGAGTTGCGAGGGCTTCGGCTTTTGGGGGGAAAGCCTTAAACCCTAAACCCTAAACCCTAAACCCTAAACCCTAAACCCTAAACCCTGAAGTCTAAACCCCATCGACGGTCACGATTGGATTGAGATGGTTGCGTCCTGCCTGTCGTCAGGGGATAAGCAATCCCTGGAGAGCAGTGTCACGTCATAAACTGGGTTGCTGTTAAGGATCTGAATTCAAGTTGCCACAAGCGGGATATATCGTAAGAAACAGGATTGCTTTATTATTGTAACTTAGTTGAAGTTCCTGGACAGCAACCCAGAAAACCCAAGCTTGTTATGACATGCCATTGAAGCTTGATTCTCAGAACTTAGTCTGGCCCTACACTCGACAGCCCTAAGTTCCAAACATTCAAGTTGAATCTTGAGTCCCACGCCCTAAACCCTAAACCCTAAACCCTAAGCCCTAAACCCTAAAGAATGAACTAACTAACCAGCCTGGTTCCTTTCCTGAGAAGGCCCATCGGCGGCTCTTCGGCTTGAACCCTGAAGAAGCCTGAAGCCCTTAACCTCCTAAACCCTAAGCCCTAAACCCCAAACCCCTAAACCCTAAACCCTACATCCCTATACCCTAAACCCCTAAATCCCTAAACCCTAAACCCTAAACCCTAAACCAAATACCCTAAAAGCCTTAAACACCCTAAAACCTGAAAGCTCTCAGGCCCTCCACCCTAAAT